ATTTGTAAGGAAATCCAAAAGATAATCTTGAAGGAGAAGAACCCAAATTCAAGCGATCCCAGATTGTTTGGGGAATGATAAAAAATGTCTTAAAATTAACTGTGGTGATAGTTGCACAACTCTGTGAATAGACCGGAATTACTCAATTATACATTTTAAATGGGTATACTGGTATTTGAATTCTATCATAGTAATAAAAAATGTAAAAAAAAAAACCTGGAGAAAGTATAAAAATTACATGACTATAAAGAATTGCAAATTCAAAGTTGCAAAGTTATTGTATCCAGGTTAATTTTGACTTTAAGCAATTAGAACCTCACCCTAAATTAGTATGCACTACAATTTAGATGATATGCAGGGCTGTTAACCTCCAACATGATTTTGTGATGAGTCTTTTTGCTTATCTGCGGTGTTAGATATCATGAAAAGTATGCGTGGACCTTTTTCTTGCTGATTAGCTTTCCTTACTTAGTGTTTGCGTAGCTAATGTGTGGCTCAAGACAACTCTCAGTCTTCCAACGTGCAGTGGAGACAAAAAAAGGTTGGACACCCCTGAAGGAGCATGTCAGAGGTAATTATCAGGTTATTATTATTATATACAATGTTTACCCCCTGAATCTAGCGATTCCACTATATTTTAGTGAGGAAACTAAATGCCAAAAGATATAGGGAATAAAATTTGAAATGACTACATACTTCGGTGATACTCTAGACTTTTCTAAGATACTTTTCTAAGAATAAGTGATTATTTTACAATAAATAAAGTCACATAGGGTGGTGCCTGTGGCTCAAAGGAGTAGGGTGCTGGCCCCATATACCGGAAATGGTGGGTTCGAACATGGCCCCGGGCCAAAAATAAATAAATAAATAAATAAAGCCACATGATTTGTTTTAATAAGTTGGAAACCCATCTTTTTAAAGTAGAAAAATAATGATCTAAATCCCAAATCTAGGAAGTCAATGATTCTGAGTTCTATATAGGAATACAACAATAAAATTCAATATAAAACCAAAAAGTATTATTGGTAAAATAATGAATTCATTTTTTTTTTTTTTTTGAGACAGAGTCTCACTATGTTGCCCTTGGTAGAGTGCTGTGGCGTCACAGCTCATAGCAACCTCAAATTCTTGGGCTTAAACAATTCTCTTGCCTCAGCCTCCCAAGTAGCTGGGACTACAGGTGCCTACTATAGGTGCCTGCCACAGCTCCTGGCTATTTTGTTGTTGTTGTTGTGGTTGTCATTATTATTTAGCAGGCCTGGGCTGGGTTTGAACCTGCCAGCCCTGGTGTATGTGGCTGGCGCCCTAACCACTCAGCAATGAGCACCGAGCCAATGAATTCAATTATTTTTTTTTTTTTTTTTTTGAGACAGAGCCTCAAGCTGTCCCCCT